AGTGACCAGCGAGGAAGTGGTGAACTCTGGCAGCCCTCTCCGGATATTTACTTAATCTAGCTTCTTGTTCTAGTTAGGCGGATGAACTCGCTCTTTTGGAATGAGTTGTGCAAAACTTTAATCCTCTATCTATGTATTGACATGCTATGTTTCTAGATTTCATGTTAATCTACGTATTGTTCATCACATTGCATACATTTGTATGGACTTGGAGGTGAACATTTGAGGACCACAGTTGCAGACGGGTTGAAATAGGGGTTGTCTGGTCACTTTTGCGTCTGCGAATGTATTGGCCCTCAAGCTAGACAATCGTGATTGTAGATGATCATATATCCCAAATTTGGTGCACAAGAAGGTACGGGCTGACATGACAGCGACGAGAACCCTAACAAAATTTGATAGTCATTTCATTGTGGTTTGGAAGACCGGGTGGAGCGTCGAACATGCTCCTAGTGCCTTTGTGAAACCCAAATTTATCTCTACCCAAGTATATACCCACTTGATACGACAGCCGTAGATCTTCCTTCAGCGGCTCAATCCGCTCCGTCCACTCCCCTGACCCAAATCCTCCGATTCGAACGTTACGCCGCCCCCCTCATATACCGTTGCCTCCCGACTAGCCGTTGCCCCTTTCCCTTTCTTCCAATCTCTGATCCATCGGCCGACGAGCTCCAAATCTCCCTCTTCCCTAAGCTTCCGGCTACTTCCCACCCCTTTGGCCGTTCCCGTGACCAAAATCCCATGGAGACCGCCGTTCTCGCGCCCCAGCAGGCCAACCCGGCTCAAGCGGCGGTGGCGCAGACCAGGAACGCGGCGACCATGGCCGCCATGCGGAAGCTTGGCGCCGCCGGTGCCACATCGGCGAGGAGGAAGACGCTCTGCGACATCACCAATCTGAGGCGGCCGCTGGCGGCGGCGGCGGCCGATGAGTTGCAGCAGGACGGGTCGAGGTGCACGGACGGCGTGGATGGAATCGCGCGGTTGATCAAGGCAAGATTTGTCGACCGGACTCCACCGCCGTCTCTTTCTTGGTTATCAAGTACAGTATGATGGATCGCGGTCGCTAACGCTGCTCTTTCTTTCTCGAATCCCTGTGTCTGTAATTTCAGGAGAATTCGGATCTGGTGAAGCTCCTGGAGGAGCGAGAGTGAGTATTTGCCTGCATCTATTGTTCTCTTTTGTGTAGGATGGATCTTCTTGATGTGCGAGTGTTCTGGTGTTGACTCTATTTGGTTTGATTTGGTGTGCGCAGCAAAGTCATAGAGTTGAGCGGGGCTGAAGTACAGAATCTGCGGCTGGCAAACTGGCAGCTTGCGCAGGCTAATTCCCAGATGTTAGCAGTAAGTTATCCCCCAACTATCTGCAAGAAACTCCATTATCCCCGTTTTACAACCGTGGACTTGATCATGTTCACCACGAGGCTAATCTCTGTCTTGAAATGTTTGCTTCGCAGGAGCTAAATCTTGGCAAAAATAGGGTAAGTTGGTGCTTCTTTGGTCAATCATGACAACAGTGTGCTGACATTTTACAGAGAAAAAATTGATCCTGGCATTCCCAAATCTGATCAGCCGATGTTTTTCCTTTTATCTTTCTGAAGCTGAAATTGCTACAACATGAGCTTACGTGCTCCAGAGCTGCCCTCAGAGTAAAATCATCGGAACTTGAGGTATATCATATCATCTCATGCCAAATGTTGATGATGCTACTTGATGCTTCTGTTCATGTGCCCTGAACCGCGATGTCCCTAATAACAGGAGGCAAAGAAAGCGCTGAAGAGCAGCAGACTCCAGCAACAGAAGAGCGCGAACGAGACGGCGCGGCACTTGGTCGCCGACAGAGCTGCAGCTGCAGCTGCACAGCTCAAGGATGGAGACGCAGAGCCCCCTTCGGATGCGTCGCGCGCCGCCAGTGCCAAGAAGTCTACCTGCAACGCCAGCCGGAAGAGGCTGCTGAGATCTCGATGTAACCATGATACCCCTGCCAGTATTTGGCACATACGTCTCTTAACATTTGTGGCCATGCTAACTGATTCTGATTGGCATGTTCTTTGCTAGCTCTGGGCCCTGCGGTGGCGCCGACGAAGCTGGTGGCGGCGTCCAAGGAGAGGGAGAGCGCACAGAGACGGTAAGTAACACCCACAAGCTCGTCAAAATCATCAAATGTTGGATCTAGGAGGAAACGCCGTTCAGCCACTGATTCTTACTGTTTCTGCAGCAAGTCCATGAGAACGCCTCAGCCGAGTGGGCGCAGGGAAGACTTGTTCGAGATAGAGGACGTTCAGCTCACCGCCGGCGGTGGAGATGACAGGAAGGAGACGTCGTGGGAGCTGGATTCGTCGGTGCAGTTCCCACGCAGGTCGTCGCTGGGGAGGCCGCTCCGGCGGGCCACAGAGAAGGTCACCTCCTACAAGGAGATGCCTGTCAACATTAAGCTTAGGAGGCCCTAAGCAGTAGCACAAGTTGGTTGCAGTTTTTTGCATCCAGTTAGATTATGTATGATGAGTTGCGATTATTAGTTTATTCTTTGGTGTCTTCTGCTTCTGCAGATGCAACCAGCGTGTGTTTGGTGTGAAAATCTGGATTGTAGTGTGAAAGAATGGTGTTGAGGTTCAACTGGCAAACAGATTCAACTAATTTATCCATCACTCTGAACTTCATAATTGGCAAAGAGACATGATGCAAAAAGAATCATCTAGAATCTGACAAAAATTCAGTACATACACACTCTGCTCATAACAGTCAGTTAGTTGGCGGCGGTTGGCACATCGCCGGGAGAAATCCTTGATCCGGTCTTCGTGGAGGTGCCGCGATCTTTCTTGGAAGCGTCGTCGTGGAGGTGCGCTCCTCCTCCCCACGGTTTTGGTTCCGGAGGGAAACCTTAGATCCGCTGGATTGGGCGATGGAGGCGTCTTCGCGTCTTTCTCCTCCTTAGGGGCATCGTCTCGGAGCAGGCTACGACTGGGAGACTGGTGGATGACGGCATCTTCGCCGCGTGGTTTGTTGAGGGCGGGGCGCTGGTTTCTGTTTGGCAACGATGATGGCATCGAGTGAAGCTTGGGTCGCGGCGTGGTCTTCGGTAGTCGGTTCTTTCTGGCGTGTCCGAGGTGCTCTTCCGTGGTTGTTGGTTGCTTTGAAGTCGGA